AGGAAAGGGGAAGCCCATAGGGCTGAGTGGTCGGTGCTGCCACTGAGGGGGAGCATGGCAGCACCCAGGCACCAGTCAAGTCAACACCCAGGCACAGTGAGTGGCCACTGGACCAGTGGCAGGGCATGAAGAGACTGAGGGGGGCAAGTAAGTTGGATAACTCGCGTCCGGGCTCTTGGGGTGCCTGAAGAGTGAGCGTGACCCAAGAGCCACCCCAAAGCTGGCAGTGTGCCTGAGTGCCCAGCCTTGGCGCAAGAAAGGAGGGGGGCAGTGCAGACTATGTGGGGCAGGGTGAGGGGCTGCCATTTTTTTGTTTTTTTTTCCTTTTTCTTTTTCCGGTTACCTGTGTGGGGGTAACAATAGCAGGTGAAACTACTGTGGGTGAGGTGGTGCTTCTGTGCCCATTTGCTTCGGGGAGGAGGTGAGGCAAGGGGTCATGTTTCACTGAGACCACCACCACGGCGGGCGCAGCGGCATCCAGGGGCTCGGCGGGGCGGCGGCAGAGTCTTTTTGGGGAGGCAGAGGGCCCACAGGCATCGCCGCCGGCCGCAGCCCCTGCCGGGAACACGGCCTCGTAGAGCGCCCGCTTGGCCGGGGCCACTGCGGCCGCTTCTGCTTTCACCGGCGCAGCGTCACCGTCTTTGGGCAGCACATAGGGGTTGGCAGCGGGCGGCCGCGGCCGAGGCCCACCATTGAGGGCGGCAGGGGTGTAGCAGCCCCCGCCAGTGGGGTGGTGGAGGAGGTGGTGGTGGTGGGGAGGGGGGTGGTGGTGCTGGGGTGGCTGCAGTCCTCCCAGCTTGGTGCCAATGCCAGCGATACTGTTGAGGGTGGCAATGGAGACGGCACCAATGCAGTGGTTGGTGTAGGTCTTGGAGAGCTTGGCCGCCTTGGAGAGCATCTGCATGCGGGTACCCAGGAGGTTCTTCCCGATGGCCTTGTTCTCGTACCAGGTGATGTCGCCCTCGCTGCAGTGGTCCCGCGGGCGCTGGAAGAAGGCCTTGCAGAGGGGGTTGCGCTTGGAGAGGTACTTGACAAAGCTGGCGTAGGGGCAGAACTCTGTGCCAGTCTCATACATGCGAGGCAGGTTCTCCTCGTCGCTGCTCTCCGCCCGCTTCTTGCTCCAGGAGGACGAGCGCGACTTGTGGTAGGGCCCCAGCGCCTTGAAGTAGACGAACTTGCGTCCGTCCTCGTCCACGGCCAGCCCAAACGAGTCCTCCTCCAGCTCCCGCTGGTTCTCCCGGCCGCGGGTGCAGAAGTACATGCAGGTCTCAAACCAGACCTTGTTGAGGAGCCCGAAGGGGCTCTGGGTGCTGAAGACGCTGCACGTGTAGAGCTTGCGGAGATCGGCGCGGGTAATGGCCTGCTTCTGCACCACCGGCCCGGCGCCCTGCTCCTCCAGCTTGCGGATGACAGCGGCCAGGGTGAGGTTGGCGGCGCGCAGCTCGGGGTCCTTGGTGAGGTCGAGGGTGCGGCAGTAGGGCGGCTCGTTGAGGTAGCGGTTGAGGGAGCTGCGGATGCTGATGAGGGAGGACTTGGAGTAGAGCTGCCCGCTCTTGGAGCGCGCCTCGGCGTAGAAGGAGCGCAGGACCCGGCAGAGCGCCCCCTTGTCCATGGTCTCGAAGTCGGGGCTCTGCGCCTTCTCGCTCAGGTACTCGCGAAAGATGCGCACGGCGTAGCGGGTGGCCAGCCGCGTGTTCTCGCTCAGCCGCGCCCGCTCCGGCCGCTGCAGCAGCAGGGCCGCCTCCAGCTCCGCGTCCTCCGCCGCCCCCCCGGGGCCGCCGCCGCCGCCGACCCCCGGGGCAGCCGCCGCGGCGCCCCCCGGGGCAGCCCCGACGCCGCTGCTGCCGCCGCCCGGCGTACGGCCCGGGGCGGGCGGCAGCGGCTCCGTCTCCTCCTCGCCGTCCCACTCCAGACCCATCTCCTCTTCCTCCTCCTCCTCGTCCAGCAGCAGCCCCCCATCGGCTCCGTCCTCCTCCTCCTCGTCCCCCGTTATCTGCACCTCCTGGATCTCATCCTCCTCCTCGCCCTCCTCCTCCTCGCCGGCGCTGCAGTAGCGGTGCGGGCGGGGGGCGACGCCGCGGCCGGACGGCCGGTCCCCCGCATTGTTCCCGCCGCCTCCGCCGCGTCCGCCGCCCCCTCCGCCGCCGCCGCTCCACTCTCCGCCGCCGCCGCCGCTGCCAGGCATTCTCGCCATATTGCCGTCTCCCTGCCAGTCCTCGGGCAGGGCGCATGCGCTATATTGGACCGCAGCGCTGGAGCGCTTTTGTGTTTTAATGACCTTCAGCTACCGGGAGGCAAAGCCGGGCTCTTAAAGGGGCCGCGCTCCCACTGGCGGCGGCGGGGAAGGGGCGGGAGAGGCTGGCATGGATGGGGAGGAGGCTGAGCCGCGCTGAGGGGGTACCGCGGGGAAGGGAGCGCTACTTACCGCGCCCGCCGCTCACCTCGGGTCCGTCCCGTCGAGCAACGCTGACGGGCGCCGGGAGCGGGGGGGGACCCGCCGGGCAGGTGCGCCCCGGCCCGGAGGCTCCCCCGCCACCCGTCCCACCTCCCCATCCCCGAAAAAGAAAGCACTCCGCGTGTGGAGCGGCTCTTTCGGTAGGGACGGACCGCCACCGAGCTGCTACGACGCCTCGCACCTCCTCATTCCACAGTAACTTAAACACAGACCAAAAAGGAAAAAAAAAAAAAAAGAAACCCTGCAAAGCGAAGAAAAGAAAAACCAAACAAAAATCCAAACGAAACCCAAACCCCCCCACACAAAAGGCTCGGGCTGTGCCTGTCCGCAGCACGGCTCAGACCTCGATAGGATGCTGCCGGGGAGCGGGCGGAGGACCCGGCCCCGTTCCCCGCCTGCCGTGCTGCCGCGACATCGCCTGCCGCCGACCTCGCACCTTTAATCGGGCGCCCGGATTTCGGTCGAGGGGCTCGGGAGGAGACGGACGCTCGGGGCATTGCATCCGTGCGGCTTGCAGTCCGCCCAGGAACAGCCAGTCGGTCGCCGCGGCGCTCGCTTGGCTGGCGGGAGCCCCGGCGAGGTTGGCTGCGGAGAGGGAGCAATAAGGGTTCGGGGGCTGACGGGCGCTCCGGGCCGCCCTCCTGCTCCTGCGGGGGCTGCAGACCTTAGGGCAGCCGGAGGGGCCTCGGCCCCCCCGTGCCGCCGCTGCCTCCCAGCGCGCCCGCCGCGCTCTTCCTCCGCTACCCTCTTCCGCGACGGACCAAAACCCGAGGGGGCTCCCGCCACCGCGCCGGGGTGCGGAGCCGCCGGACCCAACACCACCCGACACTTTGCGGGTGTTTTCGGAGAGGGGAGCCCCGGAGCGGCGCAGCGCGGGCGGGGGGCGCGGAGCCCGGCTCAGCCCTGCCCCCGCCGCCCGCGCCCCCCGCCCGGCTCTGCCCCGGGAAGGCGGCTGGCTGCACGCTGCCTTCCTTACCCTTCCTGCCCGGGAAGGGTCCTGGGCCGGGCTGGGCTCGGGCAAGAACGAGGGCATGAGCCTACCGCGGGGGGAGGGAGCCTGTCCTACTCGGGACGGGAGGGGACGAGAGGGGTCCCCGCTGGTAGCACCCCAACTTTCCAAACTAAAGTACCCCACACAACTCCCCGTGCTATTTAGCCGGACCATTTCTTTTATTCGGTACGATGAAATAAATATTCATTGCGACTGCTGGCTACACCTGAAATTATAGCCCTAATTGCAGAGCTGTTGGCCTGAGTTACCACATTTGCTGCTTACTCATCCGTAAGAATTGCTCAGCGCCGGGCCCCAGCCGTGGTGGTTCCCTCTGGGGGGGCTCGGTGCCCGCCGGTGCTGGGCGGTGCCGAGCCCCGCGGCCGCTCCCCCGGGGCAGGGACCGACGGCCACGGACGGGGCGGCCCGGACAGCCCCAGCCCCCGCCGTCCCGGGAAACGTGGGATGCCAAAGAAGGGATGTGCAAATTGTTGAGCAAATTAGGCCAATTCGAAATAAATAAGCGCTGCGGGAAGAGAGCCTGCCACTCCCGGGAAATAATTGAAGAGAAACCCGGCACTGTTATATTGATGTAAGCCTGGAGTAATTACACGGAGGTCAAAGTTGTTGCACGCACTACAGAAGTTGTGCTCACTCTGTAGTTTGAGAGCGGATTATGTTCCCTCTCAGGTCGATGGCACATATATAAAATGCTGCATTTTTTCCCTATGCACGTTAGAGGATATAAATAAGGATTTTTTTCCTTTCCTTGTCATGCTCTATCTGTAACCTAATCCTGAAACAAAGTCTCAAAGACCGTCCCATGAGATGGACCAAATGCTGAAACAGATAGCTAAAACAAACAGTACCTTGTTGTGGTTAAAAGCTAAATTCCCCAGACAAGCTCTTTTAGGAGCTATTACAACCCACCCTAGAAGACAGAGAACTGCAGGGCTTGCAGCATAAACTTTTTTTACAGACATTATTTTTCTTTATTCTTCCTGTAAATGCTAAAAACTACGTGATCGGCATTGACCTTTGATTCTGTTTTACGATCGTGGAAGACACTTTTTTTTAAGACCTTTTCAGAGCCATATGAGTGCAAAAGGTAATTGAATATTTTTTTTAACTTTAAAAAAGATGAACATGAGGTTGACAGCTTCTGTACTTGGATGTTCATTTAATCACCATTTTCTGATTACGGGAGGTGAACTATGTTGACAGACTTGCAGATGAATATGCAGCCCAGTATACGAAGAGTAAGTTTAAAGGACATAAAGAACTTGCAGTGAGGTTGGAGGGGAAAAATGTATACGGAGCATCCGTATTACACACATCAACTGGAAGCACCTCAGCAGCCAGGGGGAATTTAGAGTAGCAAGTGAGGTGTTCAGAGTGCTGCAGGTGCCCATAACTGGGAAGACACATGCATAAGTTATATACTTATATATAGGTATATAATTTATACCTATATATATAGGTATAATCTATATGCAAATAGGTAAGTTAATCATATACATATATGTTAACTTACCTATCTATGTTCCTAAAAATAGCATTTAGCCTAGTCAGTTGTATTCCAGAAGTTTAAATCCTATTGTTCAAGCTCTCCAGTTAGATAAGGTAATCGAACTGCATTCCAAAACTGACAGAGTTGCACAAGGTTGTCTAATGTGAGCTGGCATATAACATTAAACTTACATCCACTCCACCCTCCACGTCACTAATCAGAGGTTTATCCTGCTGAGAGCTCCGTGCAGGCAGAGACAGCATTCTACATTCTCCCCTAGGACTCAAGGTTTGAGGCTGATTATCAAATAGGTCCTGTCCGCACTTGGAGAATACATTTTATTACTGCTGTCAGTAAAGATGTGATACCCACAGAACACTAATCATGGACTGGCCTCACTAAGGATTATCCTTACGAGTACTTGGAGATCAGTTCGTATAGCACGGAATGAGCATGCCAGTTTAAAAACCAAAACAACCTCCTCCATGAGTCAGTTGGTTCATAATAAAGGTAGTGCTTGTTACCACATTAGCAAATAGTTTCAGGTCTTTCTTCACTTCTTTTTTAAGCTGCTCTTGCCCCTGGCCTCGCCCCTGGCAAGCAGAGAGCTTGCTAGAGGAGTGTTCTTTGACAATCGGCTATTGTGCTAAAGCTTTCCACAGCCCAATTCTCCTTCAGACTAACAAAGTCTACTTCTCCCGTAGCCTCTGTAAGTGGTTATTTCATTACAGCCACCTAAACCTTCATGCTTTGGTGAGTCTTGGTAGGTGTTTCATCATGAGGCTTCACGAGGAACTAAACTGGAATACCCCAAAACCCAACAAGCAAAGAAAAACCATCGGGTCCGTTTGCTTCTTAGGATCCTGTCTAGGCATCTAGAAAAGTTTATTTTAAAAACACTGCTTAAAACAAGCTTGTGGGTTAACCCTAATGCTGGCCACTGAGATGAGAGACTACATTTTGTTCGTCATGAGAAAGAGACCAGTGTGTTACAAGAGTTGTCTGCTGACTATTTCTGTACTACTTCATGAGATATGAGCCACAAGGATACCAGGGAAGGGGTTGCAGGAGCCCACACATGGTCCCACCCAGCAAATGGTACAAGCAGATAACTCACAGAAATAACGACCAGGGAAAGGCTGGGGAAAGGGCAGGGGCAGATAAACACCCAGCAGGGAAACCTTTCCTGCTGACAAATGGTACAAGCAGATAACTCACAGAAATAACGACCAGGGAAATGCTGGGGAAGGGGCAGGGGCAGATAAACACCCAGCAGGGAAACCTTTCCTGCTGACAAATGGTACAAGCAGATAACTCACAGAAATAACGACCAGGGAAAGGCTGGGGAAGGGGCAGGGGCAGATAACAGTTTGCAAGGCAGGATATTTGCTTGCTTAAGCTTAATAGGGCACATATTGCGTTAATCATAAGATCTTGGTAATTTTCCACAGAGAAGTCACCAAATAAGGACATAGGGTGAAGAAGACGCAGCTGAGGAAGACTCTGCAGCCTTCATCACCGACCACCAGGAGGTAGAAGGATGACCCCCCTAGCAACAACCAGCGCAGGCACAGAGTACTCCGAGATGAGGTGGACTCCTGAAGGATGGAGAGGATAAAAGGACTGAATCAGAAACTAGCTGGGCAGCAGTTGGTGGAGCGGAAACTCCCCTGTCGCCCAGCGCTGAGCCTTTGCTTACGTAGTATAACTGCTTCAATAATTAATAAATTCTTTGATTGGAAATTACTCGTTTTGAGTCAATTTTATAACAGCCACCAGGCATTTTTTAAATAAAATAACTTTTTGTCCACATACACTTTTACTGTTAAATACAATAAACATTTTTAAATGTCGTAATACGTTTTCTAAACACAAGATGTTTTCACTGTAGGGGCAGGCTATGTGGAAATTGGTATGAGAAATCCATATTGACACTACAGAACTAGAAGGCAAATAACACTTGGGACTCTTGGAAAATTCACTTAGGGAAAAAGCATGTCCTAGAAATCCTTCTCCCACCCAGAAACATGCAGTTTTGAGATAAGCTTTTTTAGCATTTCAGAACTGTCACTTCAAATGCTAATTCCGTTTTTATTTTACTCTTTTATTTTTGTATATGATATTTCTAGTTGTTTCATTACTTCTCCATACTAGGGACAGCTAATGCTAACATGTAGTGTGCTATAACAGATTTTAAATCTCCTTTATTTAAATTCTTTTTCTTTCTTTTTTTTTAGCATCTCCCATCTGCGTGGCAATGAAACAGCTTCATATAACTCAACAAAGGAGACATTGATTTAGTAAAGTGAGGATGTATCCATCAGCACTAAGTTGCAGCTGTTCTTAATGGATTTTAAAATAGAAAAGCTATTTCACCTCTTGGATTGTCATATTATGAAATGTTAGTAGTAGTTGCACATATCAAAGCATCAGCTACCAGCCAAACCTTGTGAAAGGTGAAGGCAGCATCAAACCAGCCCCCTTGTGAAGCTCCCCAATGCCAATTGAAAGCCTATTTCCCCAGTATGCTCCTATTTTATTTTTTCCCCCCTGCAGGTATTTGCTGTTACTCACTCACAGCTTTTTTGTTTGTTTGTTTGTTTTTATCCTTTTGCAAAAGCAATATTTCTGCTACTGAGATCCCGATTTGTTTCCCAATTGCTTTGTTTTCAAAATAAACCAGAGAAAACTCAAGCCATCATCTTTGTAAAAGCCTACATTCAGTGCTTGGCAAACTAAAAGGCAAGACTTTGCAAATCACCTTTATTTTCAGTGTCAAGCAGCTGGAGCACTTTTGCTTCCAAAAATATGGAAGAGCTATGTTGTCAGACAGCTTGGAGAGAGGCAGGTAATAAATTGCATTGTGCTGCATAAAGGTTTTAAGGGTCTTTTAAAATGTGCTGGAGGTAAGTTGCCAGGAGATATATTAATGCTTTTATTTAGCTGTATTTCAGTTTGTGTTTGTCTTTGCTTCTCTGGTGTTGAGGCAATTGAAACAAATTGGCTGGTCTGTGTGGCACAGTGGTAGCTGGTTAAAGTTGCTGTAGTGGTTGTCTGATCATTTCTATGAACTACTGACACCAAGCAACCTGGTGTGTTAGTGGCACACAAAGTTTGCTCTCCATGGAGGCAGAAAGAGCTCTTTCTATCCAGGCTGATAACTGGTTAGTTTTTATTCCTTCTCAACTGAGTCCATACATTCTACATGAAGGTGAGGGAAATTTAGAAGGACATAGCCAGTAACTCAAGAAAGGAAGCTCCAAAGAGAGGGATCCCTGTGAAACCACAGTTTACAGGTGTTGTAGGTCTAAGTACAAGTTTTCACTTCATACAGTGTTTTAAGTACTATGTAATAGAGCATAACTTTATGCTGTATTGGATATGGAGTTCTTGAAATCCTATTTTCTGATCATAATCTTCCAGTAAAAGTTTATTTTGAACTATGAGTTCTGTCTGGAAGTCACCCTGGGCTGGATGAGGTCTACAAATGCAGGGAGGGACAACTGATTATATGATAACAAGATCTGGCTAAGAAAACTCCTTAAACATTCCTTTGGGAAAAAAGGGAAAGAACCCCAAAACCTCGAATCCAAACAAGAATGTAATAACATGAGACTCTGAAGAAGTGCGCTTTCCCACTTGTTTCTGAACCATATGGATTTTATCTTGGTTCCTTTCACCATCCCCATTGCATGACCCAAAGCTTCTGTGTTGCCATGAGGTGTGCTGAGCACTGATTCCTGCACAGGACCAGAGGCAGAGCTTTATACCCCGTGGAACTTATTCATACCAGGCTTTTCTCAGAGCATGGGGTCCCCAAGGGACAGGACAACAGCTGGCCTACAGCCCAGCATGGAAAAGGGAATCTTCTTTTGACCGTCGACTAGTGGCTTTAAAGCCTCTTTATAGAATGAATTCACTGTCAATATACTTTTGTTTTGATTTAGTGACTGAAATAAACTGATTATTCCCCTTTTCCACCAGTATTATGTCTGTGTCATCATGAATTTGGAAATTCCCTTTCAGGTATTTATGTAGCAAAAACCCCAGTACCAATGGTCTGCCTTCTTGGATTTTCTCTTCTCAATTGAGTTATCTCAGCTGGGTTGACACAAACCCAATTTAAGCAACTTTAGAATTGTGTGAGTTCAAAGGAAGCCCACAGAGGGTGTATACACACTGTTAAACAGTGTCAGAGCCCTGCTCAGGCTGTCACCCAGACCCACCTTTCCACTGCTGTTGAATTTTAAGTTACACTAACTTGTAAAGCAGCATTCAAGTAGAAGGGAATAAATTCATAGGTCATATGAAAGAAGAGTGCTGGGATAAAAAAAAGTATTGCAGTGTTTACTGCCAGACCCTATCACCTCCTTTATCAGCATGGTTTAATTCATACCAAGAAAAAAATGGTAGAAAGTGTGGCAGAATATTTAAAATAAAGGGAGTTCCTTTATGCAAAACCACTTGCATTAATTAAATGTTCCCACTGTATCAGTCTTCAAATGAAACCGGGGGTAAAGCCTCAGGATACTGTCAGGACTTTCATTTGAGGTTTAAAGCCAGAGGCCATAAAGGACCTTATAGGTCTTTTTGCAGTTTGCACCTGCATTTTGCTGCATTTTAAGTTATAGAGAGTAAAGCCTGGAAAAGTAGAAAACCTGAAATGATTCAGAGAAAGCAAAAAGAAAATTGATAAAAGTTTAGTGAAAAAAGACTGGATGCATTGGATATACCTCTCCTTTTTCCAGCATCAGGTAATAAAACAGATTAAAAATACCTTCTAGCATCTGGTAAGCATCAGTATTTTGTAAGAATTTGGCATTAAAAACACCCCAACAAACCACTTCTGCAACTGTTGAGAATGCTTAACTGCAAAGCTTTTTTGTCCAGCCCTGAATTGTACTGTGCTTTGAATAGCCTTGCTTTTTCTGTTTATGGAAGGTTAAGCTGGGTGTGAATCAGTTTTCTTATTTGAAGATCAAGGCAAAAACTCAATTTCTTTTTACAGAACAAAAGGTATCATCAAACAAAATAGTCTAAAAAATCCTAGAGCCAAGACTTTGCATATTCATCAATTACACAACTACAAGCAGGTAGTTATTTGCTAGTAAAGACTCTGCTTTTAGTAGAAATGAGCATTGTTAAAATAAGCAAGAGAAAAATTACAAACTCTTCCTTTGCCTTGGACAAAACAAGGTCACATTTGCAATTTGCAGTGCTTGATCTCTCCCTTAGCAATCTTGGCAAAGGTTTATCGAGTTATTCTGAGTAATTTCCTTCGAGTTATGAGTGTGTCACTTGGTCTGTTACGGACCTGTTCCTTCAGTTTACTCTGCTGTTTACCTGTGAATTGTCACACTTGTTCTTGCAGATCAGTGTTAAAAGGAAAAAAAAAATAAAGCAGTGTTTAAAATCAAAGCTTCAGTGTGGAAGGATATAAAGTGTGAAATCCAGACCCTTTGCTTTCATTCTGGCTTTAGTGATCATAGAAACCTGCTGTAGGGCAGGACTAATCTGCCAGAAAATTATTATTGAGCCCTGGTAACTCAGATATATGTGCAGACTTGAAAACGTTGTTCTTTGTGCCAACTCCAGGTCCTCCAAGAACCTCATACGGTATCCTACACCTGGCTCAGAAATACGCCGTAAAGAGGAGGAGGTTTGTTAATTCCCAAGCAGCTGTGAACAATTTAATCTCTTTGCAAACAGCCCATCATCCTATTCCAATTGTGAGTTTCTTGGGGGATGGAGAGTTTGAAGAGCTGCTGAGAGATAATAGGGTCTTTCTTTCAAGGCCATTCCTATGGATTTGGCCTCAACAGTAGCATCTTGATGGCAGGGTTGCCAAATCTCAGAGCCTCTCGATACTTGGTTGGAGTTTCCTCCTCCATATGCTGGAATCGAGAGAGGTTTAAAATTAGTCTTTGGCAGACAACTTTGAAAGCTTGAATTATGTAAATACTTGGAAATACTTGGAAATCAGGAGGCAAGCCACAGTTTTGCAATTTTAGGAAGAAGAAATCCCTGTGATTTTAAGATATGATTAAGATTTTATTCTGAACGCTGGTGGTTGGAACTCCTGGGATTTCCCAGATAAAATTGCCTCTGAGAACTGAGCTGATAGCTTGAATTGGTTTTCTGGACAAGTCTCTAAATTACTAACTTCTTTGCCTCACATAATTTCTTAATCAAAAAATCACCATCCAAATCCTACACACAAGCCATTTTTGCTACCTCTTTGGCAATATGCGTAGAAGAGTCAGAGAATCACAAAGAACTACTTCAAGAAGCTCATACCCAGATTTCTTTGAGTTCTCAGAACCGTGAACTTTTTTTGTTCTGATTATCAGAAGGTCTCTGCACTCAAAAATGGTTGTAGAGGTATTTAAGCCAGCTGTACTTTTAAACAGGCTCGCACCTGATACGGTTTCCATGGGAGCCGCTTGGTCCTTAGCCATTTGCAAACATGGCTGCTTATGTAGATAATTAAATTAGACTTAGTGAACACAGTGTTCTTCTGAACAGCTGACCTTTGCTCTTTCTGGCACACCATAGTAGAGAGAAGGGAAATACAGTCTTTCTATGGTTTACATTTTCTGTACAACATTTTTCTTTTCCTTAAGACTAGCTAGATGTGACTTTCTGGATACTTTACCAAAATCTCCTACTATTTCAGCAATTACCCTTGGATCATTCTGCACTACTCCAGACAGAGCATTTAATCAATTTAGTTCCTCTGTTTTCACTGGAGTTCCCAAATTTTCAACATTTTCCTTTGTCCAGCAAGATATATTGGGGTTGGCTTACACTAAAATGTTTCATAATATTCTCCAAGAACTAGTTTTATTCAATCAGAAAGTATTGGAGTTTAAGTACTTAGGAATGTCAGTCATATCTAAAGGGTAGAGGCAGAATTCTAGGAGCTTTGTTTGTAAAGCTAAATAGATCAAAGTATCTGGAACAATTTTTAACATTTTTTGGGCAGGCACTGTATTTCAAAGGAAGTTGTAGAAGAATTTTGTTAACCCATTGGTTCAAATGAGTTTGTCAGATCCCATATCGAGAGCGACAGGATTTTGGCTACTGAATTCCAGTTTGCCACTGGTGCCTGGACTAATTAGGGATGGGTAGAGAGAACCCCACATGCAGCTGAATAAACTAGAAAAATCCTGATGTCCTACTGAGGTCAGCAGCACTAATTAGCATCCACACACAGGAAATCTGTTTGAACCTGCCTGCTTTGCTTCCTGGCTTTGATCACATCCATACTCATACAGGAAAATGATTCTGAAGCTATATCATGCCAGAAGCACGTGGTGGGATGCTCATGGGCCAGCTCCTGTCCACCCAGGACTTGTACAATCATTCTCACTTACTGGGGTTGCTGAAATTCTGTTGTATGGAGGACACAAACCCAGAGGCCTTTTGGCTGCTCAGCAGAACGAGTCCAACCCTTGCAGGGGTCCCTGTCTGCCTGGCTCTTGAGCTCTATGAAGTCCAAGAAGCCTGGTGCTATTCTAGGAAGTCATGTTGAGAATTCCAGCTCCCTGCAGTAGTACCAGACACACACAGAAGCTACAAACTGCCTCTACGTTGGGGAATTTTGCCAGATCTCCATTTCTTTATACTTTCTGTCCATGAACTCTGAGGTTTCGTGAAGCTTCTCCCTAGTACCATGGACAAATGCCACTACCTCCCTTCTCTGTGCTGCTCAAAAGCCCACCTGAGGTATAGGCTGCTGAATTCTGGTTTTGTTCATGCTCTCTCAAGGACTGCTCCATCTCTTAAGCTTTCTCTAGAGCTGGGTGACAGTTGATAAAACAACAAATATACCTAAGTCCAATACTTTCTCGGTATTTTTGGTTAAATTAGTGGAGTAATATCTGAAAGCTTATAGTGTGTTATCTGCTGGTCAACAGAACAATTTCGATATTAAGAAATAAGAAAAGTTTTCACCATTTAAAAGGTTCAGAAATGTAAAGCAACATTTTCCAGCATAATTTGAATGTAAGCACTGTGGTATTTGTATTAGGCAAGACTCCTCCACACAATACATCAGTAATAATACATTTTTAATGAAAAGTGGCAAATATTGGCCCTACAATAGTAGTTTCTCAAAGTCCTATGCATAAATGATTATTTTAATAGGCAAGCTATCACTTGCCTGTATGAAAATGTATCCTTCATTTTAACCTCAGAGAGAGAATCATTCCTCTCAATTTCTTCTGCTTTGCAGAAAGGACATGAAACAAACAGGAAATGTTGTGAATGTTCTACAACTTCAGCTGGAATAAAAAAAAATAAACCAAAGGAACAAACCACTTCAGCTGAAAACCGACTAATATAAATAAGGAAACAATCAAAAACAGTTAATAAAACTTCTGGTTTGGATGACACAATTGTTTTACACAGTGCTAAAAGAGTGTATCTCTCAAGTGTGTGTAACATGTTGCCAAACCACAGAATAGTATGCAGAAATGAGCAGGGATTTTCTATTGGCATAAGAAGTTTGAAGACACTTGGCTGGATAATGAAGATCAATCTTCTATCATGTGGAAATTACCTATTGCTTATAAAGCACCTATTACCTAATCCTGCGAAGTACTTCAAGAAACACTCCAAAAGCAAGAAAAGAGAATCTAAGACCACTGGTTGCACCTGTCTCTTTGCATCCAGCCACGAAGAACATCCTTCTGTTCTGGGCTGACACTGCCTGGGTTGACTCTGTTGAATCTGCCAACAGAATAAGGCTTAGCAAATAGACTGGGGAAAGGAGAATTCTGTCTCAGCTGTTTGCAGTCATCTGAGAGCTTCTGGTGATCCATGCCACTCTGTGCTCACTGCAAAATGCATACACCTTGGGGGAAAATATTAGTAATCTGGGCACAAGAGCTAAAAACTTTCCGGTAGAATAATCTGAATCACAGATTTGGCTTGGTTTCCTCATGGAAGAAATAGAAAGTCCCCTTGCTCTGTGAAATCAACCATCATTCAACTATTATATTTTTAAAGGACATTCTCAGTAAACTGCAAAGATGCCAAGACCGCTGCTGTGCCCTAATGATATATGTGAGACCTTAATGTTGATACAGAGCTCAGGGTCATGAAGATTTTCTAGGAGAGAGCAAGAACTCTAGAAAATCTACCATCACATTAGTAAAATTAACAATGTTGAGGGGAACTCTTCTTGGACTCATGACAACCAGTCTGACCCATTATAACTTAAAAGTCATAACAGAGAGAAGTAAAATTTCACCATGGACATTCCTCTCGAGTAAAGACCTCCCCCTGCCAAAAAAACCACCCCAAACAAACCCCACAGAAATCCAGACCAAACAGATGTCTCTTTTCTCCATTAGCATCCTGTCTTGCTTCTTTTGAACCACTGCTACTGCTGTATCAGAGAACATTTGATACGGGGATATCAGGGTTGGGCTGGGTTAACCAAGATGGAACAACAATGAACTACAGGAAAAGGTGGAGGGCTGGAGCTGAAACACAAAAGGACATTAAATAGTTCTGAAATTACTCCCACTCAGGTTGTGCTTTCCTCTAACAATCCCTGTGTGCCCTCTAAATTTGTTGGCAGCTAGCCAAGCCTTTAGAGCTCTAACACCATCCTATTGTCAAACTGTCTACAATTCTCCAAAATTTTGCTGAGAGGAGCATTCAACAGAGAAAGATATGGTCTGGTTGCCTGCAGTTCTTCCCATCAGCAGACACAGTGGATAGAAAGAGTCACTGTAGGAGCATTCCTGTAGCCCTGATCCACTGATGTTCCTTTGGCACATGCAGGCATATTCATGAGCTCTATATCCAAAACAGGTGAATTATTCTCAGCAGCAAAACTAAATTTGAACTCTTGTCCTAGTAAAGGGCAGGAGTGGACAAGGTTCAGGGCAAGAACATATTTGTCACAGAAAAGGGAGAGGACATGTAACTGAGGCATAAAAGGATGCTGCAGAACCAGATTTCCTTCATCCCTTCATCCCACGGCTGACAAGAGGTGGGATTTGCCTCTTTTCCCTCCCAGCAGTGACTCTCCCTTGGTGAAGGTAGCAGCAGGACCAAGTCTCATCTTCTAGGGCTCTGGCACAGATGACATAGACTTGGGACCAGTGCTGATTTGTTCCTCAAGGCAATCTGCTGCCCTCAGCAGCTTCTGTGTTGCTAGAGCCTCAGGTCAGCTCTGTTCAAAACTTCCAGCAACCTTCTCTCAAGACAAGCTCCTGCAATCACAGGTGAAGCCTGAGTAAATTTGCTGTATCTGCAGAGGCAAGTGAGGATTTCTCCTGGGACACCTGGTAAGGACTCCTGGTATGGATTGCAAGATATGTGCCAAGCAGCACATATCTTGCAATTACCTTCATTAGACAGAACCACCTGGCCACAAAGGTGGCTGAAAGTGAACAAAAATTCTGTTTTAAGGCACACCAAGGGTTCTCTCATTTGCCATTTTCACAACTCTCAAAGGGGTACAAAATGTAATAGTTTCTCTTTGTTCACTCCAGTTGAAATAAACTAGAAATTTAATTTTGATGCCACTGTCAACAGTCCAGTCTTGAGCTGGTAAATCTGGCTGATAATTATTCTTGACCTGGGACTCTTCTTTCTTATTCTTCTAAGATTAAGTCCTCAGTTTTCCCCCTTTTCCTTGTGCATCATATCCAGGTAACTGAAATGCTACACATCAGTCCCAGCTTGGACAATGCTTCCCCTCCTCATTCATCCTCCACTCTCTCCAAATCATGTCATGCTTTCTCCCATGCCCTTTCCCTCACCACCTGCTCTTCCTTTGGGAATGAACAAAATCACATACCCATCTGCCTTAACTGTTTCCTACATTTCTGCTAGGAGAGATTGGAAAGATGAAAGACAGGGAAAAGTGGTGCAGAAAATACACTGAACTGATATGTGAAGCTACACTGAATATGCCTTCTACAATCTCCTCCTTCTGCTTTATCTCTTCTCCTTTGCAATCCTGGAGGAAAACAGGAGGAAATAAAACACTGCATGGCTGTCACCTTCAAAGCAGGAGAAAAGAAAAACCCCTTCCTCTCTGAGCTGTGATTACATCTCATGATAGATGACTTCCCACACTTGTCTGGGAGAATCCCTGGCTGCTCTCTTGTTCCTATGGGCCCACACAAACAGCTGAACAAACAGCAGTAATATCTGTGGGAAAGACAGGATGATTCTACTCCTCTAAATTTCTTCATTTTTCTATAACCCTGCCTGCCTCCTCAGGAGGTTCCAGCCCCTCACTTTGGCACATGGTGCCCAACGATTGTAATGCTCTACTCGAGGTGGCACCAAGCACTGCAGTCCTGCCAGGACTGTTGTCCCTAGCCATGTGTGGGGGAATCCATCTGCTTTCAGCCAGCCACGTGTCCTTGCTGGTGTTTGGGTAAAACAGTGCCCAGATCTTGCTAATCTCTGGGATTCATGACGACATGATGTTCCAAAACAAAGCATGAAGAAAGTGATGAAACCTGGGTTATTTCTTAAACAGTGTGTTTGGGCGTAGTCACTTAACTTCTGGGTTTGAGTTTTCAGGATGCAATAATTTTCAAGTCCTGTTCTACCTTTCCTTTCTCTTACTGCCTTATCCATTTATCCTCCACTTCAAACATAAAGGCTAAGTATTCTTCATCCCAAACATAAAGGATGATTGTTCTTCCCCTTTTAAATCCAGGAATCTCTTTAATCCTAGATGTGAGACAATGGGAAACATACTAGGAGGTGAGAGGAGAGGCTTGGCAACACAAGAGAGAATGCACTAAACCAGTTATTTATTTTCCAACCATTAAACTCCACACCCCAGAGTTACTGGTCTTTATGGCAGCCTGGTCAAATAGAAAAAGACACAGAAGGGCAGAGGAGAAAGGTCCTATGTTTCCAAACTGATGCATGGACAAGGTGCCAAATGATTGCATTTCATTCATTTGCCACAAACTGGGTTAGCTTTGAGCTTGAAGGAGAGAGAATTGCAGGTTTTTAAGTACTGCTTCTGGGTCTGGCATCAACATTTCTGTTGCCATAATGAGTCAGACATCAGAGGCAATACACATGAAAGGATGCAGGCCAATGCCTAGGCAAACAGAAGTGGGAAAGTAGAACTGAAAAATAAGTGCACACGTCAGGGAAGAAGGACTCCATCCTCACAAAACTTCTGAAATTATGTTCTCCATTTCCTTTATTTCATCAAATAAATTCACTTCAAAATAAACCCACTACCACCACCACCACCAATACAAAAACCCCTCTAGAATTCTGGGCAAAGTTAATTTGCCAGAGGCAGAGTTTGTTCTGTTAATGGCCATTTGCCATGTACCAATGCCACAGTCCCCAAATGCTCTTGCACATTTCCCATCAGGCAAGCACACACACGATTAAGAACATTTGAGCAGTCATCCTTAGAACTGTGAAAAACATTAATCCTTAAATGAAGGGAAATCAGTCTTCTGAGCCACAGAAACCATGGCCTCAGATGCTCCTTCCCTTTGCCTTTAGCGAGGGCTCCTGAAGGGCTGCTGGCTGATAAGGGGTAGATAACTGGCTCTGGCAACAGACTATGGGTGGGAAGGGCATTGATAGAAAACATTTCAAGCTCTGATTTGCACCCTTACTTGGGGGCTTCATTGGGAGCTCAGGGCAGTCCAAAGACACATATTTGGCACTTTTCAGCTGTCAAGTAATTCTTCCTCAATTGCTCTCTTATGCCTCACATTTCCATTGTCTTTTCTTCCTCCTTTCTTTTTCAGACCATCCCTCCTTCTCTGACCCCTAGGTATCATCATTACCTAGAGAGTCAATATGCGTTGCTTGGTGCTCTTCTTTACTATTCCTTGTTCTCTCCAACACTTTATCAAACATAAATGTCACAAAGAAAATATTTATTCCAAGAAGTTCTAGTGATCTGCTAATCAACTAGCACAAAATATCAACTACAGAACTCTAGAAGATCTCCCATGTCCCTTTCTGTCCTCTGTTACTAGGCTTCCTTTATTATATCAGGACTTGTCTGTTGACAGTTTTAATAATGTGACCAATTAATGGGGAAGTTTTCATTTTATTTTGATCAACAATTGTACTGATAGAGACTCATCACTGTTAGCACAGTTGCACTGATGTGAAGATACAAGTGGGCATCACCTCCTTGATTTTGGTTAGATGACAGAAACCGATTTCCATCTTGGGAATCGGAGCTGCAAAATTTTGTCTTGCAAAATTATGCAACATATAAAACCTCCACTAAAGCACACAGAATTCAATAACCATGTATATAACCCCCTGGTACCTCGATTGCTACAGTGTTAGATGGTGTTGATGCAACACAAGCCAAAATGGTGAGGTCACTGCTCCAAGAGGAACACGGTAATGAGGCCCAATATCCACAAAGAACTTGCACTCACATGTCATTGTTCTGGAGTCAGTTAATGAATAACATGGATTAGCTCCTTGTGCGTTATGGACATAATATCAAAAATGTAGACATGCACAGAGACACGGCAGGGATTTTGGAATAGATTCTATTCTTTAGAGTTGGAAAACAAAGGTCTTATAGAATATTAAAAATGTGTTGATTTCCTGACTCTGCTGCCAAGAATCAGCCACCATTTTACATGTAGTGCCTTGGTATTTCAGGCCATGCCTGCCTTGTGTGATCCCACACGTGTACTGAAAATAAAGAGAATGTGATAAGGCAGCAGAAACATGATTGAGCTTTGATCTGAAAAGGGATCCTGACTCTCTTATGCTGCTGAGAGTTTTTGGGCACCAAAGAGAATATGGTAAGTCTGCTCAGCAAACTAGAGGTGTGACATTAATACAAGTTACCCAACACTAGAGCCTTCCATGCAGCCACAGCTAAAATAAATCTGTTTCCCCACTAATTAGCTTAAAGCCAGCATAGCTATGTTGCTTCTCCTACTGCCACATTTTCTTTTGCACTTAATGATCTAATCACATCCTCCTTTTTCTACAGGGCCTTTGCCTCATTCAGTGCCCAGGATGGATGCGACTCATTGAATAGGCATCTGTAGTCCGACAGTTTGTCTCAGATTTGCCTGGAGCTGAAGATACATCCTTTGATTATATCCCTGGCTCTGCTGCAAAGTTTCTGTGTTAGGGTACTGGTCTAGCAACTTAAACCAAATAAAGTGGGCACAAAAACCCTCTACTTTTTTTGCTGTGGGTGTCTGACTGTAATGACTTGAGACCTCATTTGTGAAAGAGCTAAGCGCTCATTACATGCAACTGGGGCAGAATGCTGCAAAATGCTAAATACTCTGAAAAATAGAGACACTCAGAGGTTCAAAATTAAAATTAGTAATAGTGTTATCCATGATCTCCCTGGATTCCCTTTCCTGTATCCAAAATACTTCTTCCAGCATAGGGACAGTGTGACAGAAACAAGTACATATCTGGGAAATTATAGTTTTGAGGTTTCAAATCCCCATTAGGACAAAAGGAAAACCATTCTCCGGTCTGAAGGGTGGACCTCTGTCTCATACAGGTTCCAGGTGTTTAGGGTCTCCTATGGAGTTGTTCAAATCAGCAGACTTTTGGTACTTCTAGATCATTTGTCCACTCAGTTTACCCAAGGCTTTGCCCTTCATGATTTAATCAAAACTGAAAAATTCCTGCAAAAACCTTCAGTTTTGACAGACCTTTTCTTGTCAGATGACTGTTTTGTACATATTTCTTGTCAGAACTGCTGAGAGGATGGCAGGTCTCTGGGATGAGTGTGCCAGTCCCACTGAACAAGTTTTTGTTTGCAAGAGTTGTTGCTCTGGGAGAATTCAAACTAGGCTTGCAAAGGCACGTCCGGAGCTCATCTGAACTCTTCTGTATCAACTACAGATGCTCCACAGTTCCAGGGGAGCTCTCCTGGCTCAGGACATCATGCCAAGCTACAGACACAGAGGGTGACCAATT